CATCCCACTTGCCCACTTGGCAGTTCCATAGGGACAAATCAATGCTTTATTTTGCAACCAGATGATTGGGAGACAGGTGTTCTACTATATAGAAGTAAACAGGTGACTTTTTTTCCACAGGGAATTTAACCGGAAAATGGATTTCATCAGATGAAACAAAGGCTGATATTTTACGCAGCAACCTCTCCTGAGTAAATCAGTGTTAAAAAGAGGAGGAATAATTGGGAAAGCAAATAAATGTCCATATCACCATTTATGATTGTTGTTTCAAAGAGGTTTAAATGATCAAGACCTATTGTCCTTATGCTGTTATCCACATCTGATTGTAATATATAACATTTTCAGACTGCATTCCAGGGGGTTCAGCATCTGCTTTTCTGGAGTTTTTCCCATAAATTGGTTCCAGTGTCTTTGTCCCACCATGCATTAGTTACTCTGTTAAAGAAACGGGTTTCCAGGTGAAATGAGAAATATTTTGTTTCTCAGTTTCTGTTGGATTTGTCTGCAGGTTATATCGGAGGAGCAGGAAACTATCTTGGAGCGAGCCTGGGTGCTGCAGGCTATGGAACGGGTAATTACTTTCCCTTTTAGCAGATGAATATGATCATGATGAAAATATCATTATGATAAAAATATTTCTTGCATTTTCCTTACATCTTTAGGACAGGGAGCTTATCTGGGAGGTGCTGCAGGAAAACTTAATGGTCAGTGATCTTTCATTTATTTATGATTTCAAAGAATACTTAGATTTTTGATATTAACTTCTGCCTTTTTCTGAATCAAACATCGTAGCTGCTGCTGCTCTCGGACAGGGCGCGTATCCTCAAGGTGTTGCAGGGAAAAACGGTAAGGAAGTGCATTTATTCTTGCATCTTTACAAAATATACTTTTTTTACTACCGTAGTTTCCTAAGAAAATTTAAAGATGCAGTAAGAGAGCACAGACTTAATACAATTTGTTTATAAGCTAGATATGAATTTTGGTGCTACATGATATATGAGGATCAGAGCGATTGGTCAGATCAGGCAACGTAGAACACGATAATGTGTTACATGTAGTATGAAAAACTTCTCCAGATGAGATGCATTTATGCTTTTAAACTTTCTTTAAATATTTGAACAAAGTCATGATCTCGAGTTCTCTTTGCCAGGTTTTATACTTGGCCTTGCTAAGTATGTTTTCCTTTTTGTGTTTTCTCTTCTGTACATTAAAGTTTGTTTAACTTGATAAAAAATTAAGAACTTCATATGATTCAGGCATAAAAAAACTAAGGGATAATATATTGTGGTTGTGATTGAGACAGGTAAATACAGTAGGTAAAGAAAAGTAAGTGAGTAACTAAGTAAGTAAGTAAGTACATAGCACCTTTCTTCGACAAGCGACGCAAAGTGCTGTACAATATTAGCCATAAAATAAAAAGCAGCACTATATAAAATACACATAGACAAAATAAATACAATTATAGCAGCCCTTGGTAAAATGAGTCTAAAATGCTTGGTTAAAAAAGATTGTTTTTAAAAATCATCCATGGAGTTCACTAAGCACAGGTAAAGTGGTAGAGCATTCCACAAAATTTGTGCGATCTATCGTCTCTCGACCTCAAACAGGTTGGAGGAACCATTTACAAGTTCTTTTCAGCAGATCTTAGACTGCGAGCAGAATGAAGAGGCTGATTAAAACCGCAGATGTAAGAGGAAGCCTGTCCAAGCAGGGCGCTAATGGTCAGGACCAGAATTTTAACTTTTATGCGGTATTCAATGGGAAGCCAGTGTAAAGCTTTTAGGACAGGAGTTATATGAACTTTTCAGTTGTACGTGTCAAGATTCTTGCTGTAGAATTTTGCACTAGCTGCAATCAAGCTATGCCTTTTTTATTTAGACAAGTGAACCGGCTATTTCAGAAACTAAATTTCTGAGTTTTACAATGTTACACAGCTTAAACAAACGTTTTTTGATTAATTGTTTTGTGTGCTTCTCCAGAAACATTGCCTCATGAAATAAAACTCAGAGGAATGGGGCAATAATGAGTGTCTCAGTTTTTACTGAATTCAGATGTGGGCAATTGTCACCCATCCACTTTATTCAGGACAAACATTCAATCAGATAGTTTAAAAAGAGCAAACAGCCATTAGACACACACTTTGTGCATGTTATAAGGGTGAAATATTAGAGTATCGGCTCATTACAAGATCTTTATTTAACTCCTGGCATAACACGTTTCTTTTTGGATTTTTTTCTGAAGAAAACACTTAACAGCTTGAACCTCAGACCATTTAATGTCTCATAGTGAGACAGCAGAGAATCTGAGGCTACCTAATTTCCCTTGTAAACTCATTATTTTCCTGTCAGACAAAAAGCTTTGCCTCTCTAGCTCTCCTTTGTTGCGAGATCTCACTTGAGCTAAGCTTTAATGTTTCTAAAAGAAAAACATTAAAACGTTTAAAAACGTTGTGATTCATAATGTGGGCTTGTTTAACCAACCAGCTTCCCAAACCAAAACAAACTCTCTTTTTTTAGCCTAACCGTATTGCATCCAATAAAAAAATGTTTTTTTGATCGATTATGACAGGCTATGGTGAAGGAATGACGGGATATCTTGGTGCTATGGGGGGTAACGGCTTGGGTAAGTGTAAACACATCAGTGCAGATGGTGAAAATGCATTAGTGTCTCGCATCCTAAGTTAATGTTCAATTAAAAATGCTTTTGTTTTTCCTTGACTGGTTTTGTTCTTGCTGTTGGTATGCAAGCAGGGCCCTGATAAAAGCATTCTTTAGTTATAGTCTTTAGGTGTTTCACCATTTTATCCTTTTCTCTCAGCAGGCTACGGTAACGGATATGGAGATGGTTACGGAGCAGGTGAGTAAATTCATATTTGAGTGAGATAAAATAAAAAGGGGTAAGATTTGGTTTAGCTAAAAAGAAATTAGTTCAGAGACTTAAGTAGTGCTAATTAGAACTATGTTTCAGGGATTGGTTACCCTGCAGAGTTAGCTGATGGTGCTGAGAACAAAGCAGGGAAGATTAAAGGTAATAATAACCTGTTGGAAAACTCCAACAGGTGATGACACTAACTAGTAGATGCTTAGGCTCTCTTCCTGTTGGTGCTGAAGTAACATATCCTCTGGGTGTAGCTATTGAACCTTAATCACAGAAGCTGACCGATTTCTTCTGGGAGTTTCTGATTTCCTGTTTTCATAGACGCCTTGACACTTAATTTAAAATATTTTCTATTAACAACTTCATGAGTCAGCTGTTTTTTTCTATTTCTGATGTTTCAGCTCTGAGCACAGGAGGCTACGGAGGACAGGTCCAGGAAGGATATGGTAAGAACTGACCCTTCAATGGATGTTACTGGTATATAATCAACAGGTCAGATATTCCGAGCATTAAAATCAACTGAAATGTCCTATTTTAGTTCAGAGGGAGATGGTGCCAATACTCCTTACGTTAGAGTAATGATAATGATTCTTTTGTTGTTTTAATCTGTTCCTGAAATGCAAAAGGTCTCAGTTCATGGTTGACCTTTTCAGCAGAACTATGTCTAGCTGGGTTAATATTACATTAGGTTGAAGAATGACACTTCATAACATCCGGAATATATTATCCGACATTCATTGGACTCCAAGAATTAGAGTAATAGCATTTTTTTTGTGATGATATATTTGTTTTATGTTGTGCAGCCATATTTAAAAGTCAGAAAAATGTATCAACTTTAAGACAGAAGTCAGGAGTTTAAGATAAAACTGTAAATATGACCTATAAGTACATTATTCAGACAATGCAGAACATGCTGATAGTCGCACCCACATTTTACTGAAGAAGACTTCAACTGTCCTTAAAGGCACCAGCTGACCCATGAATGAAACTCCTGAAATTTGTTAAAGGCACCTCTTTCACTGGCCTGATCGAGGATCCTGACAAATCTGCATCCCTCAAATGGCTTCTCTTTTACATCCCCAGCACTGTTTTGTTGACTAAGTCACTTCCTGTTCCTAGAAACTAACCTCCCTTATAAGGAAAATCCTCAGTTTAGAAGAAGGCCCAGAAGACAATTCCTGCTTCCTGCTTATAATTAAAAGCAAAGTAAATTGAAGTGAAATTCTTTGTTTGTTTGTGAAAGATTGGGGATTTAAACTTATTCTAACACAAAATCAAGTAGGACATCGTTTCCAATTGGGGTGTGGTCTTAATAGCTGTCCAAAATCAGTTGGCTCCATTTCATACCCCTGAAACGACAGTATCAAACATCCTATGCTAACAAAATTACACAGAAATTACCTCTTCCATTCCTAGCTCATAGATTCTGCACACAAACTGGTTTTAAAAAGAAACAAGCCTTGGTAAAAAAAAAAAATTAAAAATTAATTGAGAAAGTAACCCTAACCCTAGCTCGGAAAAATAAAACATGACTTTGTCACTGAACCTTTTTTAATGTTGGTGCAGGAACACTTGGTACAGGACTGGAATCAATTGGGGGCAAATATGGTGAGTCCTGCAGAAACAACCTCATTGCGTTGTGAGTTAACAATGCTCTGCAAGTGTGACTCAACCATGTTGGATTGTGAGGAGATGATACATCATGTAGGTTAAAGGATGGCATAAGATCTGAGTCATTTTGATCAGGCGTTTGTTTTTCTTCCAGGAGGAGCTGCTCAGGTTCCTTATGGTAACACTCCTGTGATCCCTGCTGGCCTGGAAGGTAAGAGCTTAATGTGCAGCCATCACAGTTATACGAATTAAAACAAAAGCATGGAAAAGCCACTTTTAATTACTTTACAAACATATTTGTTGCACACTAGTTTACAGGCAAAAAAAAAAAAAAAAGATTTCATTTTACGTTTCATGCTGTTGTTTTATTTTAATCTTTTTTTTTTTTTAAATCATCCTCATTTATTTCATTTTCCCAACTTTAAGAACTGTTAAAGGCTGCTGTCATTCTTTTAGGTGATGGAGGCTACCCATATGCTTCTCAGCAGCTCGGCCTTGCTGCTGAAAACGCCAAAACAGCCAGCAAATACGGTGAGACAGTGCAATCTGAGAAGAGCAAAAATGTGTGAAGCTGTGCACGACAGAATAAGGGCTGTTACTGTTAGATGTCGGTTAGCTTTTCTTTAAACAGATGCACACCCTTTATGGTTAAAACAAGCACAGAAAACAATGCAGATTAGAAAAGGTGAAAAACAATAATATTTTCTTCTTTTATAGGATATTTAATTTTCTCTTTCTGCCAGCTAAATTGAACCATGTTGTTATTGTTTTAGGTGCTGCTGCAGGTTATGGGACCCGACAAACAGGTGAGTTTGCATCACTGTTTGAACAAAAACTTGCAGATACAAGCATTTTATATTCCTCCCTTCAAGTTTCAACACCCTGTTGAGATTTTCAGAGATGACAATGTTAATACCGCAAAGCTTTGCACAACTTCTGTGTTGCACACATCAGCTACTCTTGATTTTATCGGGTTACAAAGTTCATCAATAATGTATACCCTCTATCTCTTTGTTCTCTAAATTGTGACTCACTGTTGCATTTTCTGTTTAAGGTTACGGAGCACAGCTTGGAGCTCCTCATGATGCTCTGGGTAAGTCAGAAAAACCAGACTTCCTCTTTACTGATCGAGTTCACTTGTTGATGATTTCATAAGTCATGTGCTCTAGCATGATACCATTGCTTTGAAAAAACTCAGAGAGCAGAGCATGACGAAAAGCTTCTAATGTCTGCTTAAGGGGAGGTTTCAGAATTACTGTGTAGCTCAACTCCTCGCCTTTTAAACACTAAAATCCTGTTCTTGACAAAACAAAACAAAGGAACCAAAAAAACTGCTTTATTCAAAAGTGAAACCCTTTATGCAAAGCCAGCTTTTGGTACCTACACTTACATGAAAGTAGCAAGCATAATAGATAATATTCAGGTTTTTACTTTAAACTAAAGTTGTCAATTCAATTTACCATTAAAAGACTTAACTGGGATGTTTTATTTTTTCACAGTGGAGCAGACTGGCAAATACGATGGAGTGAATGCTGCACTTGGTAACGGGTACAAAGGTGACGTTGATGAAACTTTACAACAGAGCATTAAACATACAGATCATTTGGTCATGCAGAAAACTGGCTCACATGAAAGAAGAGCTCCATGGCAAATTAGGGAAATTAGGTTAATTTCTAAAGCAAACATGTCTTGAGTTTTTTTTTTTTTTTTTTTACAAATACCTATTTTTTTTTTTTTTTTTTTACAAATACCTATTTAATGAGGATTCTAAATGAACAAAACAAAACAATACAAAATAGTGTAATAAAAACAGCATGGTTTTTCAGTTGTAAACCTTTCTAGCTGAAATAATTCTGAAAAATGTGGCATGCATTGACATACTTTGACGCCTCTGAATAAACTCAACTGTAACCAAATGCCCTCAGACTTTATTTTAGACCCGGCCCGTCAGCAATCGTATCATAGTTGCTACAGATGTTTTGTAAAGATGTTTCTTGGAGATCATTCATTAAAAACCAGCTTTAAGAAGAGCAAGGAACACAGCCTGGCAGTCAGGGAGGAAGTTGTGGGCAATTTTAAAGATGAGTCAGTTACAAAACAGTGTTAAAAGAGAGAACTAATGAGAAAAGAAGTCATGAGGTTGATTGGTAACTCATCACGAGCTTCACTGATCCACAGTTTAGGTGGAAAATTTGTCAGGAGGGCAGCTATTCCTGCCCCAAATTTTGGCCTGTGTACTGTAGAAAGCTGGTAAGAAGAAACTATAGTTCAGATTAATGCAGTTTCATTTCCAGTTTGCTTTAAGCCCAGAGGGAAACACAGAGAGGATTGTGCTCGAGTTAGGTGATACTGAATGAAACCTTTTCTATCATGGTTGCTGTTTTTGATCTGTGTTTCTACTCAGGTTTTCATTTTGTCCTTTTTTTGAATTTATGTTATGTGTTTTCATATAGATTTATCTTGTTTTCATTACAGCTTACTTTAAGTCTTCCTTGGTGTTTTAAGTTTATCCCTTGTTATTTAAGCTATCTTTATTTATTTATTCCAGTCTCTTCCCCAGTCTTCTAGTTTTTCCTTTGTCATTTTGTAATAAATCAGTTTATTCTCATTACATTTAAGTCCTGTATTATTCTTCTGTTGTCTAGACCACTATTAAAATTACAAACCTTCCTTTGACTCTGCATCTGTCAACACATCCTGACAGTTTGGCCCACAGGAAAAATGATATATGCCAAGGAAAACTAACACTGGCCATCAGCCTGAACATGTTATGCCTAATTTAAATGTCGGTGGCAGCTTCCTTCTTTTGGGGACGGCTGTCTTCAGTAGGGACAGAATTATTGATTAGAGCTGATGGATGGAACAGAATTACAGGGCAGTCCAGGAGGGAACCAGGTAGTGGCTGCAAAGTCTCGATACTGGGCTGGAGCTTTTCTTTCTAGTAAAGAGGCATCTAGAGCTGGATTATCAGCTCAGTTTAAAGAATGGTCATGTTTAAGACTGGTCAAAATCCAGGCCTTAATGGTGAGTCTCAGACAAGACTTAAAAATTGCCATTTGTAGATGGTCACCCGCAAATATCAGTGAGGTTCATCTATTTTTGATAGAATAATGGAAAACAATTAAAGAGACACCCTAAATCTCTTGTACTGGTTGAAGCAATATGTGGTTCTAAAAGGTAATGATTTAGGAAGAATAAATATAAATGCATGCCACACATTTCAGAATTTGGTTGACGTTGTGAAAAAACTGTATAATGTTCCCTCAATTTTAGTCTTACACCACTTTTTTTTTTGGTATATTACATTAAATTAATGGTTTGTGACAATATTAGAAAAAGCTTAAGTTCTGTGAAACACATTCAATGAAAAAAAAAATTGCATTTTTGCTCCACTATTGATTTTAAAATTGTGTCTTTGTCTTTAACCAGGTTAAGAAGTTGGCCTCTTCAAGTGGATCTTCCTATATTTCTATTGTTTTACCTTTTTGATTTGCTTTTCTCATTGTTACCCATATTTGTATTGACCCTTCAAAACCTGCTGTACTCAACACCAATTGTTCTGTTTTATATCATAAAGTTTAAGTTGGATGATGAACTAAAATAGATGCAAAGTGCAAGAAATGTATGTTTGCTTGATGATCTTATTGTTTTAGTCCAATGAAGCATCATGTCATGTGACGGTGAATAAAAAAAACAACTTCTGAGTCAATAGGATCCGCCTTCATGTTTAAACACATTCTCTTGAACACATATAGCGAAACCTCATCCGCACACAGGAAGCTTTACCACTTCCTTTATATTCGGGCAACACAGAGAAATTTAAAGTAAACACCAGTTCTTTAAATGGGAACATAATAGATCAAAGAACACAGATCAGAGCCAGTTTAGTTGTGCTTTTATTCTGGATAAGTAGGGCAAAAGTAAGCTTTCATAATATGAATTACAAATTTGTTAATAAAAAGACAATACGATATTATCAAGGTTACAATTAAAAATAGACTTTAGCTAACACTTTCTCCAAATCAAAAGAAACCACACATATAGGCAGGTATATAAATTATTGCAGCATAACTGATATCTTAAGTATTAAAGCAGTTGTTGTAGAGTATCATTCAAAGGATTTCACCATCTGACTCTCATTCCTGTAAGATTCTCTTTCCTCCAAAAAAACACCCTTTTCCTTCAGGATAGATTTTGGAATAGGATGATCATGACGGGACACGTAAAAGCTCCTCAGGCTCTGACTTATGGGTGATGGTTTATAGTCCAAGCATGATTTTCCAGCAAGACTTGGAATACATGTCACCTCCCATTTGAAGAAAAAGCGACCATGTTGGAGAGGGCACACATCTTGCATGATTCCAGAGGAGAGTTGTCGTTCACATGCTCCCAGCAGATCGTCATCCCATTTGCTGTCCTGATCCCAAACTTCAAATCGCACCAAATTCTCTATAGAGATGTCCCTGGTTTCTAAGTCAACGATGGAGTTCCAACGTGGGCTGTTGTTGTTATCAATAACAGAAGTACGGTAAACCTCTGCTTTATTCACAAACACCTTGACATAGCCGTCCGTGGCAGTGCTGTGGTCTCCCCACAGGTCATCAGCCCTTTGCACTGTTATGATAACTCTGGCCATTCCCTTTCGTGTTGGACAGCAGTCTGGGCTCACAGCAGGTTCACTGTGGCACTGGCAGACACAGGGATCCTGGGAGTCACTCTTTATTCCAGCATTACATCTATTGCTGCAGTTCCTCAGCAGACCTTTCTCCAGAATGTAATGGCTGATAGCCAGGCGCAGGTCTTTCCTGACCTGTTTGTCGGTAGGCAGCAACTCGTAAAGTGGTGTAAGGGAATATGAAATGATGTCTGGGTATTGTGGTACTGAACCAAGCCACTCCTTGTAGGCTTCTGGATTTTTGTTGGCAGAAAAAAGGTCTCCATCTGAAGTAAGCCCCCCTTTTACTTCTGTGAACCTAGAAACAGAAATGTTTAAGCAGCTGAACCAAAAATTGTCCTTACAGGAATAGCAAAAAGTAAATATTATTTTGTTATTATTAATTAAAAGATGAAAATGTATACTTTACCTGTCTCTGAATGTGTCAGAAAAGGATTTCTTGTTTTCCATTTTGTCTATAGTTTTTTGGCAGTGCTTTGATTCTACTGTCGCACTAACTTTGACGCTTGCAGACGCTTCAGCCTCCAGACACATTTCAATCTCATTTGTATTTAGACCCTGCAAGCTGATTTCACACATCTTAATGCTGGTCACAGACTCCACCTTTCCTCCTAACTTCACCTGGAATTACATATTATGAGCACTTGCAGGTCAGATATGTCTTTATGCTGAGTTCCCTTTACTGATGTTTGCTGTTTGTACTCACCTTAGTGATGTAATGTGTCCCAAAGTTCTCAATGAATTTGTAAAACCTAGATTTGTACTGTGGGTTGTATACTTTAGGAAGCTTTCCCACAGCTTTGTTGAAATCTCTGCTCAGAATGGGAGTGCTGGACACTCTGTAGCTGCAGGGACACGGAACAAAGATGTGAGACGAGTATGACAAAGCAATAGGATAACACCAGTTTTGAAATGTTGACAACCTTCAACAAAATTGGAAAAACAAATCTAGAAATTGTTGGTCTGTTCAACCTTCATTTTTTTCAGACCTCCTTATGTTGATTAATTACATTTAAAGCGGAAGCTTAAATTTAGCCTTAATGCTATCTTAGACTCAGCTGACTCTTGTTCAAAATCTGCACAGATCCCCACTTTCTTCATATCTTGAATCTGGTGACACCATATGGCACTGACTGTCAAGAGATAAATACATAAAAGGATTTCCTCACTGGCCTGCCCTACCTGGACAATTTTAATCACCTTTAAATTCAGTTTAACTCAGTTCTCCTCCCCCTAAAGAAGGTTTGATTGGACAGTTATTAAACTCACACACAGCCAGAGCTCCATTGAGCTGTTTATTCCACCAACTCTCACCAGACTTTAAAGGATTGTTTGAATCTATCAAAAGTAAAATAATTGACATCCTTCAAAATATAACTAACTTATATAACTTTTGATCAAGTTCAACTTTGAGATATCAACATTATCATATTCATCTAAGCCAATAACTTGTATTTTAGATCCATTTCCAAGCAACTTAGTTAAGACAGTATTCCCTCTTGGAATCCCATGAAAATAGTGCCCTTATAAAAAATTGCTTCAATTGATCAAATTGTATTAAAGCAGATATTGGCAGAAGTAAGGCTCTGAATGTTGTGAGTTGTAGTTTAGCTGTTTAAAGTTACACTTTTCTAACATATAAAGTATTTATGGATCAGTGCCTTCAGGTTATTTTGATGTGTTTGCCTCTGTCTTATTGGATCCCCAGAACGGGGCCCAGTGTGTGCAGCTTTTGGCGAGGCCGACATGCATGCTCTCTTTGCATGCATGCTTGGTGTGAATAACTGCTGCAAACCCAATGACACAATGCAAGTGAATATTGACTGTTACAACATGCTCATCTAGTCGGAGGGAATTCTGCAAAGTCATGACTTAATGCGACTGTCGTAAAATCAAATACAAACAGCATAAAAATAAAACAACAAGCCGGTCCCATCTAGGCGCAATCGGAGAAAATGACAGACGGAGTGTGCTCCTGATGTCCAGTCTGCTCCGCAGCTTTGTTTTGGTCGCTGTAACCGCAGAAAATCCTGCTTCACAAAGATAGGATGTTATAGATAGGATGAGTCTTCAACTGAATTAACCTGTGTCAAGAGGCACAGATGCACCGATTGATGTAATTGGGAGAGAATACCGCAATTTTTTATATTTTTCAAAAAAAAACATCACTCAGACGCTGATCGTCGATAAATTATATATATATATATATATATATATATATTTTTTTTTTTGTGCGGCCCGGTACCAAATGACCCACGGACCGGTACCGGTCCGCAGCCCGGTGGTTTGGGACCGCTAACTTAGTCGATTAAGATCAGATTAACTGGTTTATGTTTTTACTGAGTATTAAAGAAGGCTTCACCAAAGTGAAATATTGCTTGTTACAGCAAACTGCCTCATGAATATCCCTTTTTCAGAGATAATACCAAAACCAGGCCACTTTCAAAATCTGCAGCCACTTTTTTTCTATGGATGTGAAAATCAGTATGTGTCCAGTAAATAAATGCCGAGACTGGAATCAAAAGGATGGAACAGAAAGTAGATAAATAAACATAGAAAAAAATTGAGGTCTGAGGTTACCTTTCTAGCTAATACTCTTTGCTTACAAGCCACAGCCCCAACTTCCCGTACTACCATCATGCTATACAGCTTTTACTGGGAAGTCTGTGGTTACTTTATTTCTAACTTGACATGATTTATACAAGCAAAAACAGAAGCTACATTTTCTCCCCAATTTCAATTTTTTTATTGGGCACGTTCAAAAACCTCCCAAGTCTTGATCTAAGTTTGGAATAAAAAGAAGAGAGATAATATAATAGCAGATTTTGGTATTAATAAAAGACTGCCAAAGCAGATAAATGTCATTGAATATTAATGAACACAGGTGACATTTTAGTATTGGGAATCTTTTTAAGGTGTTCATTGCTGTTATCGGACTCATAGTAGTGAACAGCTATTGCAAAGGTGTTAAAGTTGGCACACAGAAACCACCAACCAGGCATTAAATCTTGGTGTAGTGACTCAGGCCTGAAAATTCGGATGCACAAAGACAGAAACGAAGTCAGACTTCTATCACCTAAAGAACATCCCCAAGATTAAAGGACCAATGTATCAGCAGGAACCTGAAAAACTAATTCATGCGTTCATCTACTGTATAGTATAATGGATTGCTGGAACAGTGGCTTCACAGGTCTGCCTAAAGTGTGGATCAGAAAGCTGATCCAGAATGCTGCTGCCAGTGTCCTCACTAGAACTCACTAGAAGTGGAACACATCCCCCCAATTTTTATTTCCTTCCACTGGTTCCCCAAAATGTCTAGCTCCAAATTAGTTCACAGACTTTTTGTCAGTGTATCAACCACTCAGACTCTCAGGTCTGATGGTTCAAGTTTCCTCTACATAACCAAAACCAAACATGGAGAAGCTGCTTTTAAATCGTATTCTCCACCAATCACGAACAAACTCCAAGTTTAAACATTAAACATTTTGAAACCTTGAGTTGCATTAAATTGAGATTTAAAAACTAATATACTTTTTAGGTAACCTTAGACTGTGTTATCTAAACATTATTATTTACACTTCATTTTGTTATCAATTTCAATTACTACTTCTATTATCTTGAATTATGCATATTTATTAATAATTTAATTGTCCTTTATGCCTCTGGAATACACGTTTTCCTGTTTTTTTCCTGTTATGTTTTTTCATGAACAACACTTTTTATAGGTCCTCTGAAATGTGTTATACGAATACATTTCCCTTGCCTTAAGTGTTTTAATCATGGGACATCTAAGAGTTTGAGAGATTCAGTGCTTCAGTGGCCCCTCGGTTATCCAGATTGTTTTACTTAAATAGAGAATGATATTGTACATTTTGACAATATTCAAAGCAGCATATTGCCAAACATTTAGCAGCAAACAAAAATTATAGAATTATTTTCTGAAGAACTAAACCAGTTTTGCTCAGTGACTGGTGAAATATACAGTTCCTAATAGTGTTAAGAAAATGTACAAAGCCATTTTTAAGGCTTTGGGACTATAAAGAACCCCAGTGAGAGCCATCATGCTCAAACGGGAAAAAATAATGAAACTGTGGTGAATCTTGGCGAGACTGGTGGACCAACCAAAATTACGCAGAGCATTAATGACTCATCTGGGAGGTCACTGTAGAACCTGGAGCAATTGGAGCAATCTTGATTGAAGATAATAATTATTTGAGAACTACTGCAACCTTTCCAGAGCTTCAGGTGCAGATGAATCATCTAGAACTGTGTCTGACTTCAGAATTAAAAATGTAAATTTAATATATTCTGAATTTTTTGACACATTTTAAAATTCTTCCAGCTCTTCTGAAATCAGGGTTTGGCCTGAAGACATTTTTATGGTCTAATGGAATGTTCTCTTACCTGTAGTACTCACACGACATGCTGGTACTTGCGAAGCTGAACTTGTCATTCTTTGTTTTTTCCATGGCATATTCTGCCAGTTTAGAGTTGGTCCCAGCCAGCATCAGGTTTCCAGAATGTTGTTTTACTTCAACATCTAAACCTGTCTTCCAGTTGTTTTCAACAGAAGAGGTGCTGCCGCTGACCAGAGCCCTGCTGGATTTGTAAAGTTTAGAAGACACCTTGGCGCTGCAGGACTGCCTCGCCCTCCAGTCCTCCACAATTAGGGGAAGCTTTTGCTTTTTGTTCTCTAGAAAGGGGTTCATACAGAGCATACAGGTCTTGTCTTTCCGTTTCCACCGATTCATATTGAGAACAAACGCTCCTTTACGCTGCATCTTGGTAATGTCAAAGCCTTCCCCGGCCAAATTGGATCCAGGAGCAAATTCGGCCTCTAAGCACTCTTGGGGTTTCCCATCAATGCACGTTCCAGTCGAGGACCAAGGGAAGCACAGCAGGAGGCCAGCATACAAGGAAAAACTTAACAGAAACATTCTAACAAAAGAAAAGCACTGAAAGAGAAAAATATATTTCAGTGAGGCTCATTGTTGTACTGATATTAAACAAAATCATCACTTGACCTTCAGAATCTGTCATACATTTTTAGACCAGCCATTGTGTGAAAAAACAATTTTTTGCATGGTCTTTACAGATACAGATAACAGATTAGATCATGCATAAAAGACCTGCGGTTTGAGTTATTTCTCTTTTTCAGTTTCAGACATGACTTATCTCTGTCTTTTGTCTGCTCTGGTGTACCACCAAATTAATATTTTGCAAAGAGAAATGTTGTGCTTGTTTATGGAGTTTATAATAGCTTTAAGTGACTTCTTTCAGCTTGAAGTAGCAGTATTCTGAACAATTTCCTCAAATGCAAAACTAATTGAGTGTGTTTAAACATTAGTGTATTGATACTTTATTGGTTCTTTTGTTTTTGGGAAATTAATTAAATTGAACAACATGTTACTTTTGAACAAGTTAAAAAAAAAATTCCATTATTTCCCCTGATGGTTTTAAATTTGCTTTTGAGACTTTCTTTTGTTAAAATGTAATTAAAAATAGTGAAGCAGTATTTTTCTTAATTAATAACCCCCTGTGCATTGTCTAGTACCCCCTCTCATTTCAGTCATGTCCAAACTCAATGACTGGGAGGGTCCTTTAACATCTTTCTGGTGTTTTTCTATTCAGGTTTTCAACTTTTTTTTTTTCTTATCCCTGTTTCTTTTTTTTTCTTAACAAAGAGTATCAGATGCTATTGTTGAAGCGTTATCTCGTAATCAGACTCACAGGACATCTATGGTCATCAGCAAGGCCTCTTAGGATATTATTTTTATCTTTCTGACATGACATTGTGTTTACACAAACGTTAGGTGCAGCAAACATTTACTTTTACAGAGCTGCTTGATGCCACTAAAAACCGATTGCTGCAACTATTCTGTGTAAACTTGTTCTTTTCTGTAACCATCTGAAGTAAGAGAAAACCTCTTTGCAGCTTCAAAAACCTGTCTTCTTCCTCCAAATTGCCACCTTAATGCGGTGGAGGGGTTTCAATGGTCAGATAATCCCAGAGGCTATGTTTTTGGGGTTTTAAATGCCCCTGTTATGGTCAAAATATGCTGTAAATATGCTGTGGGTGAAGGGTCTTACAAAGGAGAGGTTGCCTTATGTGGCATAGCTGAGACCTCACCCTGCAGCCTGAGCATGTTAGCTAGAAATACTATCTGGGCTCATCATCACACATACGGTAGTCTGGACTCTGGAACCCAGTTCCTTAAGACAGGCTGGATTTGTTCTACTCTGGAGTGACCCGTGGGGAGAGGCGGACGGCTAAGGTGGGTCTGCTGGTCTCTCTCATGCTCAGTCCTCTCATGCAAGAGTTAACTCTGGTGAAAAAATGGGTCACATTCCTCATCTTGGTAGGGAAAGATCTCTGACTGTTGTCTCAGCTCATGCACTAAACACAAAGTTCCAGGCCTTCTTAATGTCCCTGGGTGGGGATGTGGGATAGTGCCCCTCTCTGGGATTTCTGTACTGAGATGAAGCAACACAGAATCAAGAGCTGATCAG